AACCACATATCAAAGACAGAAAAAGGAGATAGGTTCGTGAAAAATGAAGATATAGATAGAGAGATAGATGAAGATTAGGTTAGAGTAAAAGAAGAAGGAGAGGAACTAGGAAGTATTAGGAATGGAGTCTTAGGCAAGAGGAAAAGAATGCAGAGAGAATAATTTGATTGAAGAGATAAGATGAAAATTGAAGAGATACGATGAACATACCAGGGAAACGGAAGTGATAAAAATCGCCTCAGCACAGTCCTCGCCGCCTCGACCTTGCTGCCTCACCGCCTCAACCACGATGCTCTCAGCCCAATCAGGAGAAGACACAAAGCAGACGAACACGAACATGCACACAAAGTATGGAAAGATTGTGATGAAGGCAACGGAAGAAATGAAAGTGCTTAGGAGGAAGGGAATTAGGGTTTAGGGAATTAGAAATGAAGGTGCGGAAAAACTTTTCTAATATTAAAGACGCCAAAAATTATTCTAAAATAAAAATATATTTTAGGCACGACTTTAGTTAGTAACCGTCATAACTTTTTTTGAAAAAAAAAACTTACTTGCAGTTCTAAGCATAAACCGTCGAAATTTATTTAGGGTTTCCAAAATCGTCGGAAAAAAAATCCCCTCCTAAAATTCATTATTTTTTTTAGTGATAGTTTGTGATAAAAACAAAAAGAAAATAATATCACAGTGTATCATTCATTGAAAATATGAAAACCACTCCAAAGTCATATTTACTAATTAGTTGACTCTATTATAGAGAAAAATCTTGTAATTATTTTAAAAATGTTTATTTTAGATAATGAAAAAATTTACTCTTTTCTTAATGTTTATTGATAATATTTTCAATTGTAGTTTTTTCTAGTCACTTCCAATATGGAAGATATATTTAATAATAAATTGATTACTTTAATATATATATATAGTATATATATATATATATATATATAATCTATATATAAAATATGATTAAATGATAAATATTAGTATTAATTTTATTTCTTATTATTTTTTTATGTTTTAATATTTTATCTATGTCTAAAAGTTTATAAGTACATATGATTTCTATAAAAAAAAATATTTACTCAATTATCTCATTTTTTATAATTGTTATCAAAATATGTAATAGGACTTATACATTTACATATTGGCTTTTACATTATAATAAGGAAGGTAGGTTTTTACTTCCTTCATTCCTACAATTTCTTCCCACACTCCTCAAATTTTAAAAATTAAAAATTTTATCAAATTTTTATCTTTTGTAAGAGTGACTTTCAAATTATATGTTTTGAAAGTTTTTTGGGATAATTTATTTTGGAATTTATGAAATTTATAGAATAAAATTTTTCGAATGAAATATTATGAAACACAAAATGAATTTCGGAACAAGATTTTTGGAATAAAATTTCCAGAATAAACTTTTTGGAAAATTTATATATTTTTTAAACAAATTTTTCACAATGAACCTTTCAGAAAAAGATTTTCAAAACACGTTAATTATGGAAAAAACTATAAGAACAAGCTTTGTTTTTATCTCTTATTCTTTATCTGAAATTGATGAGAATTATTTTTAAGTTGAGCGAATTTTGGACTTAGCTAGTTTTAACGTAATTCATAATAGTAATAATATGGGAGTTGCTCCCTCCACCACCACCAACCACTCTCTGTACCTCCCCATACCTAATTTGCCCTTCTATAATACGGATGTCAACATTCGTTTCACCTTCAACGGATGTTGACATCCGTTTAATAAATTTTTAAAAAATATTTTATTTATTATTTAAATAATAATATAGTACATTACAATAAAGAGGATGGGAGGAAAAAAAGAAAAGGAAGGGAGAAAGAAGTAAAGAAGAAGGTGAAAAAAGGAAAGAAGAGGGAGAGAGGAAGGAAAAGATGAAAAAAGGAAAAAAAAAAAAACAAAAAAGGGAGGAGGTCGACCAAAGCCGGGAAGGAGGGGGCACAGCCGGGGGGAAGAGAGGTAGAACAAAAGGGGGTAAGGAGTGAGGGAAAAAAAAAGAAGAAGACAGAAAAGGAAAGGAATAAGAAGGAGGGAGAAAGAAAAGAAAAGAAAGGGAGAAAGAATGAGAAGAAGGTAAAGAATGAAATGAAGAGGGAGACCTAGGAAGGGAAAAGAAAAAAAGGGAAAAATAAACGAAAAACCAAAAAAAAAAGGCAACGGAGGGCGTCCACATCCGGGGGGAAAGAGAGGGAGAACAAGGGGGAAGGAGGGAGGGAAAGAAGAAAGACAGAAAGGAAAAGGAAGAAGAAGGAGGGGAGGAAAGAAAATAAAATTATTTATAATTAATTAAGTAATAATTTTAAAAAAATTAAAATAATATTTTTATATATTAATTTAAAATACAATAAATTAAAAAAAATAAATTAAAAAAAAAACTCAACGGAGGTGGCACTCCGTTGAAGAATTTTTTCTTTCAACGGATGTTGACATCCGTTGAAGAAAAGATCGGGGATGGTAGGATATTTTAAAAATATAAAAGGATAGTTTTGGAATTTTAGAAAAAATGTGGTTGTGGGTACAGGGAAGCAACACCCGATTAATATTATACAAACAAATATGAAGAGAGATAAGAATTTAGATAAAATATTAATAATTGAAAGAAGATATAAATTTTGACTATAGAAATTTGACCAATAAAAATAAGTTAATAATCTTTAAAAATAGTCATAAGAAATACAAATTCTTAACAAGATAAAAATATAGTTAGGGAAAAAACCCTATAAAAAATTATTGTCATTTCAAATGGTAACTAAAACATCGTTCTATTATTTTCTTTCACAAAATTATTTATATCCTTTACGTAAAAAAAAAACATAAATAAGTTTTTTGATCTTCTCATTCAAACAAATAATACATGTGAATAATTACCTCCACATTTTGGGCTTCATTATTTAATTTACCTTTGTTAAATTATTTTTTGCAAAGTTTCCTGAGTCAATTTAGTTTTTGCTCTTGCATGGTCCTTCTAAGTTTTGTATTTGGTCTTGAGTTTCCCTTGATATAAGTATTGACTTCATGATTGTTAAAAGTTTCAAACATGTATGCATCAGAAAGTGACAGCAACCACGATGGTGTGATACAATTATAAAGAATATTTTAATTTTTTTTAATTAAGTAAGATTTTAAAACAAGGACTAGATTTGACTTTAAAACAAGAATAAGTATATAAACTATTAAGAATTGTTTTCATAAAAGGAAAGGATTATCATTCATCAACTTTTTATTTATTTATTCTTTTGGAGATAAATCCCTTAAGAGTAAACATTTTTTTCATCAGCTATCACTTCATTAAAGACTGCACTCTTAAGAGTGTATTGGAAAAGTTTGTCAAGCATTATCATGTTAAAGAGCAAATTAATTCTAGAAGGAAAAAATAAGTATACTTGGTAAAACACTTTTGAAAAAAAATAATTAATTGGTCTACGAGATAATTGATGGATTTATAAAACATGTGCATAAGCCTATTAAAAGGGATAATTGGTGGATTATAAAACATGTTCATAAGCCTATTAACGCATTATTGAAGAATCAACAATATCATAATTTTATATTGCTTCACCTTATGAACTAGATTTAGTCATAGATTCACAGCACGGTAGAGAGAAGAAGGCTTAAAGGAGAAGAGAGAGAGACAAGATAAGCCAGAGAAAAAGGAAATATTATTTGATTGATTGATTCATAAGACCAGGAAAAAGGGGAGAGATATATAAGGGCAGGATAACTACAAAAAAGCGGGTCATGCAACCTAACGAATGGTTATTAAAAGGTTTGTACCAATATACAGCCCCCTAAAGCTGGGAAATAAATGTTTGGAGACCCAGCTTGGAACGAAGAAGTGAAAAACTAGGGGGAGGGGACCGGGTAACGGTTTGGATTAATATGTCGGCATTTGCATAGGTGTGGAGATGCGGATAGCTTGACCGCCCAGCTGCCAAACCTTTTCCGACAATTGTGGCAGTCAATGTCAATGTCTTTGTACGTGATTGAAAAATTGTTAGAAGCAATTTTTTTTTGTTGTTTATGGCAGATTGGTTGTCGTAGTAGAGGAGGGAGGAGTCGTGTAACAGTAACGTGGAGAAGTGGAGATCATTGAAGCGATAGTAGCCACTTGATTTCACACACAGTGCTGGCGAGCGAACGGTATTCAGCCTCAGAAGAACTACGGGAGACCGTCGGTTGTTTCTTGGAACGCCATGAAATGAGAGAGTTTCCAAGATAGATAGTGAACCCAGTGACCGAACGGCGAGTATTAGGACAGGTGGCCCAATCAGAGTCACAAAAAGCTTTCAGTTGGATAGTAGAGTTGCACGGAAAATGAATACCAGTACCAGGTGTACCTGAGATATCGTAGGATACGAGTAGTGGCTTTGTTGATGGGCAGTCGTGGGGGGGCAGACATAAATTGACTGAGGTGATTGACGGCAAAGGTAATGTTCGGACGGGTGGTGGTAAGGTAGATTAGTTTCCCAATAAGACGACGATAAGAGGCAGCAGCATCACCATTCAAAGACGAATCGATATTAGTGGCAGAATGTTTGTGAACCATGGGAGTAGGGACAGGAGAGCTGTCAAGCATGCCAGTTTCAGCAAGAAGATCGAGGACATACTTTCGTTGGCTAAGGTGGATGCCTTTGGAGTTGCGGGCGACTTCAAGGCCGAGGAAGTAAGTTAGATCACCAAGATTCTTTATGCGAAAAGTTGAATGAAGAAGATTGGTGATGCGTTGGATTTCTCCATCATTGTTGCCGGTTATGAGTATGTCATCAACATAAATGAGAATTGCCGTAATGTATTGTCCATCATGTTGCAAGAAAAGAATTGTAGATGTTGAACAGTTATAATTATGGGACAATAAGAAAGTATGTAACTTAGCATACCATTGTCGGCCAGCTTGTTTAAGACCATATAAAGATCTCTGCAGTTTGCAAACTTGATTCGGTTGTGGAAGAGTGTAAGACCAGGAGAACTTCATATAGAATCTTCATGGAAGATCACCATGGAGGAAAGCATTGTTAACATCCAACTGTTTTAGTGACCAATTCTTTGTGGCAGCTATGGCAAGGAAGGAGCCGGACGGGGTAGTGAGCTGGCGACAGGAGCAAAGTTTAAGTAATCCAACCCTTCTATTTGGTTGTATCCTTTGGCGGACCAGACGTGCTTTATAACGGTCGACCGAGCCATCAGAATTGTATTTAATTTTGTAAAAACCCAACGGACAAACCAATAGCAGTTTATTAGGGGGTAAAGTGGTGAGGACCCAAGTATTGTTAGCCTGTAGGGCATCAAGTTCAACACACATGGCAGTAACCCATTCGGGATTTTTAGAAGCAACAGAATAAGAGTTTGGTTCAGTATTAGAAGTTATAGACAAAATAGTATGCTTGTAATGATTTGAAAGACGATTGTAGCAAAGATAATCTTTGATGGGGTAGCGGACAATGCTATTAGTTTTATAATCTTTTAAGTAAGCCGAAGTCGTTCGGGGTCTAGAAGAACGCCTTACACTTTCAGAGATATCATTACAATTATTATCAAGCTGAGTGATATCTGTAGGTGTGTTGTGAGAACCGGTCGACAAGTCAGTAATCAAATTACCGGGCGGTCTATCAGCAGTAGAAGAGCCGAGCGGTATATCATTAGTGGTGGGGCCGTACGGTAGGAGATGATCATAATTATGGGTGTAGTTAGTTGGCAGAGGAAGGGATAAAGAGTTCTCGGTTTTTTGAATATTGTGATATGGAAAAAAACATTACGGGAAAAACTTCAACCTTTAGATTTTTGAGGATTTAGGAAAAGATCACTTTTGTGTGTGTTTGAACCTATAAGAAATTCGAGGGGACGCACGATCATCAAATGTCTGTCGTGAGCAGAATAGTGTTGGCATAGCAGAGACAACCAAAAACACGCAACATGGATAGGTCACAAGAAGACCCATGAAGACGATCATGTGGCGTATCATTTTGTAGAATAGGTGTGGGCATCTGATTGATCAAAAAAACAGCATGTTGAGCTGCATAACACCAGAAGACAGTTGGTAAATGTGAATGAAAAAGGAGGGCACGTGTGATATTTAAGATGTGTTGGTGTTTGCGTTCGACCACACCATTTTGTTCAGGTGTTTCAACACAAGTGGTTTGGTGATTAATGCCCTTATTTGAGAAGAGATCATGCATATTGAACTCAACACCATTGTCAGTTCGTATTATTTTAACCTTTTTATTAAACTGAGTTTCTATATTGCAGAGAAAAGTAAGAATATGGTTTTTAATAGAAGATTTATATAGCATAGGTATAATCATGTAACGCGAAACATCATCAACAATGGTGTAAAAAGATAGGGTAAAAAAAATATAGAAGAAGTGATGGGGAAAAAATATGTAAAAGGAAGAAAGATAGAGAGATGGAAAGGAAAAATGAGGAAGGAGACGGCTTGTAATAGAAGGGGTATAAGGAAGTTATTTTGGTTAGAAAGATGGAACGAATAAAAAGGAATTTGGAGGTTAAGTTGATTATTTATAAAAATGTTTATTTTGTTAAAAGATGTAACCTATTCATTTGAATTGAAGCTGGACAAAGACGAGCCAATGGCCACAGATTTGGAGTCCTGAATCCCCCCCCCCCCCCCCCCCGACAGAGCATATTAAAGGACTACAACTAGTATCTTTTACAACAGATGAGTCAAAGAGATATAATCCATTGTGATGTCTAATCAAACAATCTTCTCTTGACTTTGGGTGTCCTGCATGATCCAGCCGGAAGGAGAGAAGGAAGGAGAGAAATTAGTGTACAATTAAGTTAGCAAAAGCTGTGAGAAGATATAAGATTGAATGAGAAGTCAGGAATATAATAGCACATTAGAAAAGATGGAAGTAGAGTTGAAACCGACAGTTGCCCTTGTTGAGCTTGCGAGCCTTTTTCCATTTGGTTAATTATCGAATAGGGGTATTTTGATAAAAGGAGAAAATTTTTAAAGAGATGCAAACATGATCGGTGGCACCCGAATCAAGGAGCCATGTATTATCCGAATGAACGTGAAGAGCAGAAACAATATTACCTGGAGAGGTGTTGGTGGAGAGTGTCCCTACTTGATTAATGTGAACATTGGGAGCATTAGATTCAGATTTGTTGAACAGGTCGGCAAGAATTTGATATTGTTGAGGTGTGATTTGAATGGTCTCGGTAGAAGAATGATCAGGATCCAATCCGTTCGGTTGAATGGCATCACGGGCGGTTGAAACATTATGAATATGGCCGAGTTTGTTATCGGAAAACTTATGGCCAGGAGGATATCCATGTTTCTTGAAACACACATCTATGGTATGGCCAGTTTTACGACAGTATGTGCAGATCTTTCGATTGTTGTTGTTGGTGGTTTTTGCATTCCGGTGATCTTGGTTTGGAAAACCATGTTTTTTGAAGCAGGTGTTTTCTTGATGACCAACCCGATTGCAGTAGGTGCAAGTAATAGTGGTAGAATTCAGTGACAGAAAATTCGCCTTGGGACAAGGTGGTGGCTTCCATTTGTAATGTGGAGATCCTTGCAAGGTCACCTTGGGCAAAACGGATCTTCAGTCGTTCCATAGCGATAGCATTGGTCCATCCAAAGATTTGCTCTCACGGATGGAGGGAGATACCGAGTGTAACAGCCAAGGAAACCAACCATACTATTACAGCGGAACAAGCTTGAAACGTTAGTGCATCAGTCTGTGCAGGTTGGAGGAGCGGATCCAAGAACGAAATTCCACCTTGTTCTTGGCAGAAAGAGCCGTACACGTACGAAGGATCTGTTCCATGAATGATAGTTTGTATTGTTGAGTACGGGTGAGACAAGGGATATGGCGGGTGTTTTCATTGGGGTGAAGATAAAGGTATGAATGTGTAGAATCGTGGGTTAGGATATTGGCTTCAGGGGTAGCCATTCAAGGAGAGGAAAGAAACAAGAACAAGATTGGAGTAAACAGAGAAATCAGAGAGCAGCAGAAATAACTTCTGATACCATCATAGATTCACAGCACGGGTAGAGAGAAGAAGGCTTAAAGGAGAAGAGGAGAGACAAGATAAGCCCAGAGAAAAGGAAATATTTATTGATTGATTGATTCACTAGAGTACAGAAAAAGGGGAGAGATATATAAAGGGAAGGATAGCTAAACCAAAAAAAAAAAAAAAAAAAAAGCGGGTCATGCAACCTAACCGAATGGTTATAAAAGGTGTACCAATATTATCATTTAGTTCTCAAATGTTAAGTCAAAGGGTTCTACTAAGCAAAAACATGTTACATGTATTATTACTTCTACTTATAACTTATATTGGTTATATGGATATAACACCTTTCCATAATTACTTAAAAACTCTAAAAGATAACTTCACATTAGTGAAGGATTAAAAATATAGTTGTTTCTCTATCTAAGACCTTTATAAGATGAACTACAATTTAAGCACTTGAAGGCTTTTGAACACTTTCAACAACATAAGGAATTATTAATTGTGTATTGGAATCTTATAGAGGTGTCCAAAGAGGACTATTGTAAGTCACATGCTTTAGACCATTATAGGTTATATCTTATTTTGGAAGTAATGACTTTATATTGATATTTTTTATGCTATATAGCATGGATGATATGAGTAGATCATTTTCTTTATCTTTGAGATATCTTTGTATTATTAATAATACCAATTTGAGCTTTTGTATATTGATGAATGGTACTATATTTTAGAATCTTCTTTGAAAGATGTTCAATAATCAACTCATAAACATTAGATTATGTGACACTTAAATGATGTGCATAGTATAAGGTAGTTGATGTGTGTTTATTCTTCTTAACTAGCAAGGGATTGTTTGTTGCTTCGAACTTTAACAAACATGTTTTTTCTTAATATGTATAGTATAACATACTTTAATTATGTTGGATGTGTTTGTTCTTCAAATAACTTCTGAATGCTTTCATTGTTCTAGGTTTCATAAAAGAGAAAAATGCTTTAAACACATGCACCTTATCCTCTATTATTGTCTTGTAGGACTAGTATAACTTGATAAGATCTTCTATCAAAGAAAATCATGTATTGATGGTTTTGTATCTATTGATTTCTTAATCATCTTTTACTTTATGCGTCTATTGTTTATATGTGTTTCTTCTTTTTTAACATAAGTCAATAGTTAGTATGTCTGATCTTGTGATTTTTGCTTGCCTATAAATACAGTCACACAAATTTTCCATCTTCCTCACAATTTTCTACGATTAAGGGTAAAAAAGCCTATAAGATAAAGTTTTCTTCTCTTCTTATATAAATTCCTTTTTTAGTTGTTCCAATTCTTAGTCATCTAATTAGGTTCACGATTATGGTTTATTTCTGTTTATTCTTCTAAAGTCTTAGTCTATAAATTATGATTTTATCTCTTCTAAACCATCATGGGATGTTAGTTAAACAAGTTAAACTTTCCATTTTAATATTATAATGTTGTTTACTTCACTAAGGTAAAGGAGTGAATTCCAATCTTCAACTTTTTATTTTAGCATATTTTTCTCCAAACATACAATTTGTCTAATTTTATGTTGTATTTGTAAATGCACGAGAACTTTGAGTTTAAAAGTGAATTATTTAGAGATGAAAACTTGGCGTTGGAATAAAAAATCACCTCATTTAGAGATTTGTTTTTTAAAAAAAGTTATAAATCAAACAAGTTTAATGTTTTACTTATAAACTGGGTTATGTGAAAAGATTGGGTGTTGTGGTTGTTTGATTAAATTTTCTATAACATATTGATTTACGTATAATAACCTATCATTAATGTTTTCAATTAAATAATTGTATGGGAATACGAATAAGTCTTTTGAATATTAATATTATATGTAGGTAATAAATACATTTTGTTGAGATTAACATTATTAAGATGTCCACTCTCATTAACTTGATATGTTTGAGATTATATATGTATTTTCATCAAATAAATGTATTTGGTTGTCTACTGACGTTTTTTATTTATTTTTAAAATTTTGGGTTAAATTTGCATCATTATATTGTCAAGTTTTTTTAAATAGTTTAGGTTTCAAAAGTTGTATGAAAAAAATAATGTAATGAATTCCTATGAAACTATGAGATTCAGATTTAAAATAAATTGGAATGAAAGGTACAGATATAAAAGTAATGTTATGGAATTTTTGTACATGAGTAGTTACACAAGATGTATTAGATAATAATTCTGATAAAGATAAATAACTAAAGCGCCAGGCTGGTTAAACCAAGGAAAGTAATTGACAAACATGGACAGTGTTATAGTATACCCTTCGAGTGTTTGTAGCAATCGTTGTATTGATTTTGACCAACTGGTTTTTAGTGTTTTCAATCACATTGCTTTGCTTGATTTTATATTCATTCACGCCTTTTTGTTTGCTTTTTGAAAAACCTCCCAAAATATTTTCTTCCACATTCAATATCATCATTGCATTGGCCCTTTCCTTGAATATACCCGAGTTGATTCTATATTGCATTAGAAAGGAGGTTAGTTCTAATTGTTTGGAATAGTTTGTGTGACCAAGTTGCTCATTAGTGACCATTGATGTATGTTCATATTAATATCTTCTCTTTACTTCAGTATGTTCATCTTGTTTCATATGGAAGGTCTTGATTTATGTTCGAGTATATGCATCTTCCTTTCTTGTAATTTTTCAATTTGAATTTCTTCATTATTCATATCATATTATCGTTGTAGTTTTGAATTGGATCTTCAGGATATTCTTTGCTTGTGGTTGATTTTAAATATCATATCATTATTCACAATCTTCAATCAGTGTAGATATTCTTCGTATATTTTTTCAATCAACATTAATATTTTAATTCTTGATTTGTAATAATCATGTTATTCTTCTTGTTGATTCAATCTTCAATTTCAACATTCAGATTCCATTCATTGTATATGTCATCTAATGATCTGTTGACTTTATTGAGTAGTATGGTCAACTCAACTTGACTCATTTGATCACCATACTCGTCTAGTAATTATTACTTATTTGTTGACTTTATTCCTTTGTAAACTTTACATTTGAGTTGTTTATTCGTTGTACTCATCTAATTGGGATATTTTGATTTTCAGATTGTTTGTATTGACTTCACTTACCTAGTTCTTTTGAACTTAGTTGTCTAATCACCACAAGTTACCTTATCATTTTTGACTCATTTGATGGTCTACCTTGGTTAGACTCATTTGGTGACCTTAGTCGTCGAATGATTATCGGGGACTTAGTCATCGAATGACTTGTTTGGTGATTATCATCAAATGACTTATCTAGTGACCTTAGTCATCTGACGAGTCTTTTTCCACTTTGATTTGTGTTAGGTCATCATAAGGCTACCGATCGTTCATGTAATATAAAATGGTAAGATCAAGTATCATTTCGCAGAGACTCTGAATAGACTAAATAATTATGTGATTAAGAACTCATCTGACTAAAGAATAGTACATGAATTTTATATACTATGTGCAGAAGATAAGTTTATAAAGAATAAATGATGAACTTTGGCAGTTTGAGACACTTAGGAGTGATAAAGGTCATAAATGGTAGGGAATGACATTGCTGGGATAAATTTCACTGGCTTCGCTATCGGTACACACAAACTCATCTCCTCTCTCCATCAAACACTAATGTCAATCCACAAAAACAATTTAGCCCTAATCCCTTAGGTGAAAGCGCCTAGGTTCCCTTGATCACTCAATAAACAAATCGTACTAAGATATAAGAATTTCAGACAACTAATGGGCTAAGTTTCATTCCTAGATACAAACTCTACTAAATCTCTTATTTCAAGTCTAGGTTTCACAAGATTCTTTCGAAAACCATATGAACCACAAATCGAGCTAAGAGCGTCCTCATTCAAGCAAGCATTAAGCATAGAAACAAGAAACTAGCATTAAAAGGAAGAGGCATATATATATATATATATATATATATATATATATATATATAATAAAATCATTTACAAAGTACATGAAAGTTCAATGGGTACAAATACTCCTAACAAGATGTGTTTGACTTTCCATTTCCATGGGACCTCAAGCTTACAAAAAGGAAGATAGAAGAATAAGGAAACACACACAAGGAAGAAGAAGAGGTTGTTCCCACAAGCCCCAAGTAGCCTCTATGAGCTTATGCAATAAAGTCTCACCTCCAAACCACTAAAGATCCTTCTCTCTTCAAGAAATCTGAATAAGTAAGCACAACTTGCCACATCAACACAGGCACTTCTCAACGCAAGGGGCATGCCGCTCAACACTGGACTGTGAAATGCCAAGGGCAGTTCTCTGTAATGGTGGTGCTCAACAGTAGTAGAGAGCGCTCAATGGCGACTACTCAATTTGCTCTTTTTAATGGTATTGCTTAGCACAATGAGATTTGGGCTTCTTAGACTCCCCAATTTTCTCTATTTTTCCTACTTCTCTGGATCACCAAGCTCTTTGATATGATGGAGGGTCTTCTTAACAAAAAAAATAGAATAAAAATAGGGGATTAAAGATATAATTACATAAGTGCAGCCCAAAATGTCGATATTTATAAAAACAAGATAAAATTAAAGATTTAAGAAAGTTA